TTATTGGTCAATTTTTTATTTTATTTTACAAGTTGACATTTACTAAAAAATGATTAAATTTTAAAACAAATTCATTAACCAATATAATTATGTATAAACTATTTAATTTATATTTACTATGTTAAATAAATAATACTAAAAGAATAAACTTATAATAAATAAAATTATATTAAAATATTGTGATTGTCTTTATATTTTATTTTTCTTTGCGATTTAATCATCATCTTTCAGCTAACAATAATAATTTAATCAATAAAATGAAAAAAAATTCAGACCAAAAATAAATAAAAAAGTTAAAAAGATTTTCAAGAACAAAAAATAAGAATTATGAAACTACAACACACACAAAATATAATAGCCGAGAAGATAAGAGATTATTCAAATAATTATAGAGAAAAATGATAGAAGAAAAAAAGAATATGACAACCAAAAAAATACTAATTTTTTAGAAATATTGTTTGAAAAGATGAATTCAATGAAATATATGTAATAAATAAATATGAAATAATACATAGAGAAATTTCAAATTTATCGTTATGTGAGGGTTCAAATAAAAACTCAGAAAAAAATGGATGCAAAAAGTTACTAAGATCATAAAAAAATGTGAAATGGTAAAAAAAGAAGTGATAACTAGGCTTTTAGGCCTTTAGAAGGGGTTATCAATCCAAATATGTGTGTAGAAACTAGTTCATGATGATAGTTTCTTAATCATGATGAGTTTGGTTTGTGACAAGTGCTTAAAATGAAACTAAAAAAAGAATTAAACAAGTGATCAATGGAAATGAAACAAACAAGACAAGCAATGACAAGTAAGCAAAATGATAATGATATGATATGATGAAGGAAAGGCCTTAGACAAGATAGATGGTTAGGGTGCTGTGGTGCTAAACTAGAAATCCTAATGACAATAATGAAACATGATTCAAGTGATTTGAGATTCTAATGGATATATTGATAATTTACATGTTTAGGATTGCATTTTTAGTCCAAGTTTAGAGTCTCATTCATACATTTAGATAGATTCATTATGTTTTACACTTGTTTTAGAGTTTTTAGGGCTTTGCATTAGGACCAAGTGAATCTTGCATGTTTTGGAGTGTTTACAGGTGATTTGAAACCAGTTTGGACCTGAAAATATGAAGCCAAGAGAAGAAATGGTGAATGGAGCTTTAAAAATGGTGAAAACAGCCTTTCGGAGGTTATCGGCGATGGCCTGTACCGCAGGTGGTTTCTCTCTGAGATTTTCATGTACCGCGGGTTGATTCTCTTGGCTACAAACCTTACCGCGTGTTTAAGTCTCGGCTAAAATTTCTCTGTATCAGTACGCTCCAAAGATTGCGTTACCAAGAAGCCCTTCCGGTCCGATTCAGTTGTCGGGTGCTTCAGCAAAATTAGAGAAGATCGGGTCACGGCTCCATAACAGGTAGAATCATTGGATTTGGAGTCCTGATCTGAGAGTTAAGCTCACCGGAAGACACACCTATCTCGCTAAAGTTTCAAGACCGATCCGATGAGTCACAAAGATTGCGTGGTACGATGCCTTTCCAGTCCGATTCAGTTGCCGGGGCTTTCATCAAGATTCAAGGTCTTTGAGTGCTCTTTCCAGAAAATCTGAGATAATCCGATTTGGAGCTGTGGGTCGAGAGCTATCGTCTCTGGATTGAACACGAGTCCAGAGCTGTTTTCTTACCATTCCGATGCGATGCAAAGATAAGCCGTCCGGGGAGCCTTCCACTTCCCAAGTGCCGATGGTTTCTTTACCAAATGTGGAGCTGAGTGAGTTTTCTTTCACCAAGAGTTAGAAGATTTGGATTCTGAGTGCTGAGCAGAAAGTTACAATAGGTTAAGTACTGAGAGGTTCTTGGCACCGAGATGAACACCGAGAAGACTAACCCTGGTGTTGGTCTCACTTTGAGGATTTTGCTACACTGAGCCTAACAACGTGGTCCACACCGAGATAATTCACCCCGGTGCTAGCCAAGACTTACACCAATCTCTTCTCAGCCTCACACCGGTCACAACATCGGATAGGGTCACCTCGGTGTAGTTTGCTCCGTTTCAACCTTTCCTGCCACATCAAGCTTCACACCGGCCATATGGACCTCGGTGCTAGCTCACACATTCCAGCAATCTTCCCAACATCGAGAAGATTCATCCAGGTGTGCTCTCCGGTTTAAATCTCACAGAAGTTCTACTCATTTTACACCGGCATCAACACCTGGGAAATGTATCCCGGTGCTAGCTCCTGCGTCCAAGCTTCCTGCACAACACCAGAGACAACACCGGCCAAAAACATCCTGGTGTCAGCTCACACGCCCAAGAAAAGCTTCAGGACATTCTACACCAACCAGAGCACCGGACAAACACATCCATTGTGAAGTTGTTTGCGTTTTTAAGAGCTTTTCTTACCGGGTCAATACCCGGTTTGTCTCGGGTTGACCCGGAAATTAGGAGGCAACTTAAAATACTTTTTAGGGTTTTACCCTAAGGTTAAACTTTATTCTCTCTAATTTCTTTGCCTTTTTTGTGAAAGACTTTCCTTTTGTAAGAGATATCTTCTTTTGTGAGTCTTAATCAAGAGAAATCAAGGATCTTTTGTGTTTAAAGCTGCAATCCATCATCATCTATCATCTCAATCTTCATTTCACATCATTAATTATGCCAATCTACTCAACTTGCAAAAGTTTAAGTGAGATTAGTATGATTAGTGAGTAGTTTGCTTAATGAGGTTCTAGATATGTAGGTTAGGGTGCTAAAGTGCTAGATTAGGAGTGCTTAGGGCTAGATCCATGCTTTCCTCTCTCTAAATAGCTGGTCTCTATGCTAGATCCTTGCACATCACTTGTGATCTAGAATCTGGGTTTTTCATGCACTAAAAGTGTTTAATGAAATATTAGAGGTTTATGCTTTAATGCCATGATGATGTTTGTTATTTGCATAAATGATCACTTGGGATTGATTCTTAATGATGTCTTGTTGTTTGATCTCTAAAGATGATTAGGTATGTGAAATGGCTTGATTTGTGTCTTGATGCTTGCGAAAAATTAAGACTTGATTAGAATCTCAAATAACTTGAATCATGTTTCATTATTGTCATTAGCATTTCTAGTTTAGCACCAAAGCACCCTAGCCATCTATCATGTCAAGAATCTCATGCTTCCATCATTTCATATTCATTCACTTGTCATTTGCTATTGCTTGCTTCTTGTTTAGATCATTTGCTAGTTTATTAATCTTGTTTAGTTTTTAGTTAAGCACATTTTTGAATCAACTCATCATATTGCTTGGATTAAGAGACTATCATCATGAGCTAGTGTCTACCCACACATTAGGATTGACAACCCTTTGTATTACTAAGGCCTAAAAATCTTAGTTATCAATTGGCGCCGTTGCCAAAGTGTGGTTTAGCATTAGTTCTTGGTACTTTCTTGAGATCAAGCCTTTTTACCTTTTATTTTACTGATCAAACTCTTAAGTGCTGAGTTTCAGGTTTATGTCACATAAACCCAGAACCGGGAGTAGGAGTTGTGAAGCAGCTGAACACTTCATTGATAATATCCACTTGCTGGATAGAAGAGGATAAAGAGAAAGGGACAGAGCTGTTAATCAAGAAGAAGAAGATCATCAGGATCAGTTGGAAATGGATGCACAACACAGGATTGAGCAACATGCTCAAGAAGCTGAGCATCAGGCTCACCTAAAGCAGGCTCAGGCTGGGAGAGATGAGCAGCAAGCTTTTGTCAAGCAAAACATGGCACAAAAAAATGAAAGACAAGCTCAGCAGAACCAACAGCAAGCAAACAGGAATGAGCAGCAGGCTCACAACATTCCTCAGCCGCAGCCACAGGCTCAAAGACGTCAAGGACACCAACCAATCTATGTGGGAGCCAATGATACAGCCAATGCTCACCAGAACAGAGCTGGTATTGTTTGTCCACCTGTAGAAAGCAATAATTTTGAAGTCAAGGCTTAACTAATTAATATGGTCCAAAACTCTAAGTTTCATGGACTGCCAATGGAAGACCCATTGGACCATATTGATCAGTTTGATAGGGTTTGCAACTTAACCAAGATAAATGGAGTCTCAGAAGATGGTTTTAAGCTTAGGTTGTTTCCCTTCAGCTTGGGTGAAAAAGCAAGACAATGGGAGAGAAATCTACCAGTTGGAAGCATTCAGACTTGGGAACAATGTAAAGAACATTTCCTCACTAAGTTCTTCTCCACAAGCAGGACAGCAAAGCTTAGAAACCAGATCTGTAGTTTCACACAGCACTCCAATGAAACTTTTGCAGAAGCATGGGAGCGATTCAGGACATACATAAATCAGTGTCCACACCATGGATTTTCTAAGGCCCCTCTACTCTCCACACTTTACAGAGGATCCTTACCTAAAATCAGGAACCAACTAGACACAGCTTCCAATGGTGATTTCTTGGCAAAGGAGATTACAGCTGCTATGGAACTTGTGGAGAATCTGGCAATGTCTAATGACACATATGGTCAAGATTATGACAGAACAAATAGATCAGATGGTTCAAGCTCAGAGCAAAATCTTTCTAGAGAGGTAAGGAGCTGAAGATGGTTTCTCAAAAACCAATCCATTGTGTTGGTGAATTTGAAGAGTCTACATGCTTTCAGAACATCAATAAAGAAGGCCTAACCCAAGAAGAGTTGAATTACATTGGGAACCAGAACAGATACCAAAGGTTCAACAACTTTAATGCCAACAACAACTTGTCTTATAGGAGCACTAATTTGGCAAACCCACAAGATCAAGTGTATCCTTCTCAGCAGAACCAGCAAAGCTTTACCCATATGCCTCAGTATCAAAGTTCTTTTCAGCCAAAGCAACAATTTGGCAGTCACAACAGCAGTATGGTCAGCAACAGCAGCCACATCAGGGTACAAACTTCAGTTCTCAGCCGCAGTAGAACAAGGCACCACCTGGGTTCAGTCAGCAGCAGTTTCAGCAGCCACAAGCGGTTCAACAACAGAAGCAGATGGGTCCAGACTTGTGTGGGGTGCTACAGCAGTTGTTACAAGGACAGCAAAGGGTTGAGACTGGATTTTCTGATTTGGGTTCCAAGTATACATCCATGCAGCAAGAGATAAGGGCTCTGAAACAGAATCAGACCTCTACTACAAGAAGCCAAGGAGTTCTACCTGGAAAACAAGAACCAAATCCAAAGGAATATGCTAATGCCATCACCTTGAGAAGTGGCAAAGAGCTACCAGGTGTGGAACACTACAGAGTGCACATTGAGGACAATGAGCGAGTTGGTGGGGAGGCAGCCCCAAGGGATGAGCAAAAGGATGAAGCTTCAACGAAAGGAAAAGCTAAAGAGGTGGAGAAGGAATCAGAACCTGAGAAGCCTTATGTTCCACCACCTCCTTATCAGCCTAAACTTCCATTCCCTGGAAGGTTTAAGAAGCAACTCTTAGACAAGGCTAGAGCAGTTTTTGAAAAGCAGCTTACTGAGACCCCATTCACCATGCCTCTCATAGAAGCTTTCCTCATGATGCCAAAGCTCGGAAATTTTTTAAAAGATGCCATCCTCAACAAGACAAAGGACCTAACAGGGATAGTTGTGTTGAGTCATGAGTGTAGTGCAATCATACAAAGAAGTGCAGTCCCTACAAAGCTATCAGATCCAGGGAGCTTCACACTTCCTTGTACTATTGGTCCTTTGATGTTTGATGGTTGTTTATGTGACTTAGGAGCATCAGTGAGCTTGATACCATTTTCAATAGCAAAGAAGTTGGGGTACAGAGTGTTCAAACCAGTAAGAATCTCTCTTGTCTTAGCTGATAGGTCTGTTAGACTACCAGTTAGAATGCTTAAAGATATTATAGTCAAGATATGCAGTTTTGAAGTTCCAACAGACTTTGTGGTCATGGAAATGGATGAGGAACCCATTGATCCTCTCATCTTAGGCAGACCATTCCTTGCCACTGCTGGTGTCATCATAGATGTAAGGCGTGGCATGATTGAACTTCAGCTTGGATCAGAGAGACTCAAGTTTGATGTGAAAGAAATGATGAAGAAACCCACCATAGAAGGTCAAGTCTTCTACATAGAGACCATGGATGAGCTAGCTGATAAGCTTTTGGAGGAGTTAAATCCTGAGAACCCTCACCAGTTCATGTGGTGCCCAAAAAGGGAGGAATGATAGTAACTAAAAACGAGAGGGATGAGTTGATAGCTACACGGACCATCACAGGTCACACAATGTGAATAGCTATCGAAAACTCAATCCAGCCTCTAGGAAGGACCATTTTCCTTTACCTTTTATAGATCATATGCTAGAGAGGCTCGCAAACCATATCTTCTTCTGTTTTCTTGACGGCTACTCTGGATTCTTTCAAATACCTATAGATCCAAGAAACCAAGAGAAGACTACATTCACTTGTCCCTACGGGACCTTTGCATATAGGTGCATGCCCTTTGGGCTGTACAATGCAACTGCCACATTTCAGCGTTGCATGATGAGCATCTTCTCAGATCTAATCGAAGAGAAAGTTGAAGTGTTCATGGACGACTTTTCCGTCTATGGACACTCCTTCTCTGCTTTTCTTTCTAACCTTTTGCAGGTTCTAAGAAGGTGTGAGGAGCATAGCTTGGTTTTAAACTGGGAGAAGTGCCACTTTATGGTTCAAGAAGGCATCATGCTTGGGCATAAGGTCTCTGAGGCAGGAATTGAAGTGGACAGGGCTAAGGTTGAAGTCATGGTGAACTTGCAGGCCCCAAACTCATTCAAGGGGAAAATAAGCTTCTTATGGCATGAATGCTTTTATAGAAGATTCATTAAATACTTCTCCAAAATAGCAAGGCCTTTGACAAGGTTGCTATGCAAGGATGTAGACTTTGTCTTTGATGTTGAATGGGAGGAGGCCTTTTTAAATATCAAACAAGTCCTTGTTAGGCACCAATAGTCCAGGCACCAGATTGGACATTGCCCTTTGAAGTGATGACAGATGCTTCAGATTACACTTTGGGAGCAGTTTTGGGACAAAAGAAAGACAAGAAGCTGCATGTGATTTACTATGCAAGCAGGACCTTGGACTCTGCTCAAGAGAAATATGCAACAACTGAAAAGGAGATGCTGGCTATAGTGTTAGCATTTGACAAGTTCAGGAGCTATCTAGTGGGTTCAAAGGTTGTTGTGTACACAGATCATGCGGCTTTGAGATATCTTATGACAAAGAAGGATGCTAAGCTGAGACTCTTGAGATAGGTTATGCTCTTACAAGATTTTGACATGGAGATGCAAAACAAGAAAGGCATTGAAAATGGAGCTGCTGATCACCTTTCAAGACTAAGAGTGGATCCTGAGATCCCTCTTAATGACTCTCTATCTGTGAAGAACAAATTATGGTGCTCAAGAGTTACATGCAGGTTGAGGAGGTTGAAATCATCAGAGAAAGCAGGTTGCCATGGTTTGCAGACATTGTGAACTTCTTATCATGTGGGGTTTAACCATCAGAGCTGAGTGGATATCAAAAGAAGAAGTTCTTTAAAGACATCAAGAAGTATTTTTGGGATGAGCCATTTCTCTATGTGCTCAACAAGGATCATCTATACAGAAGATGTCTAGCTGAGGAAGAGGTCCAGCCAGTACTTCAAGAATGTCATGGTTCAGTTAATAGTGGACACTTGGGAGATTTTAAAACGGTGGCCAAGGTATAGCAGTCAGGATTCTGGTGGCCTACAATGTTCAGAGATGTCCAAGGAGTGGTCTCAAGTTGGGATTCATGTCAAAGGCAGGGCAACATATCAAGAGGAGTGAGATGCCTCAAAACCCAATCTTGGAGGTTGAGATCTTTGACTGCGGGGGCATAGATTTCATGGGGCCATTCATCAGTTCTTATGAGAACCAATACATCTTGGTGGCTGTCGATTATGTCTCCAAGTGGGTGGAGTCTATTGCTTGTCCAGATAATGATTCAAGGGTGGTATGCAAGCTCTTTAAGAGTGTTATCTTTCCAAGGTTTGGAGTCCCAAAGGTTGTTATAAGTGATGGTGGCAGTCACTTTATAAACAAAATCTTGGAGGGGATGTTGAGGAAACATGGAGTTAAACACAAAGTTGCTAGTCCTTATCATCCTCAGACTAGTGGTTAAGTGGAAGTTTCTAACAGACAAATCAAGGCCATCTTGGAGAGAACAGTGAGCAATTCAAGGAAGGATTGGAGCAAGAAGTTAGATGATGCTCTTTCGACATATAGGACTACTTTCAAGACACCTATTGGCACATCTCCCTTCAACCTTCTCCATGGAAATAGCTGCCACTTACCAGTAGAGCCTGAGTACAAGGTTCTTTGGGCCGTTAAAATGTTGAACTTTGACATTAAGACAGCCCAAGAGAAGAGGCTTCTTCAGTTGCATGAGCTAGAGGAGATAAGACTCAATGCTTTTGAGAGTGCAAGGATTTACAAAGAAAAGACCAAGATCCCGCATGATCATAAGATTCTTAAGAGGGAGTTCAAGGAAGGAGATCTCGTTCTCTTGTTTAACTCCAGGCTCAAACTTTTCCCTGGTAAGCTGAGATCAAGATGGTCAGGACCATTCAGAGTTCTAGAGATTAGAAGCTATGGAGAATTAGTCTTGGAAGGAAAGGATGGCAAGGGTTTTGTGGTGAATGGACAAAGACTCAAGCATTACCTGATTTCAGAAAAGAGAGAGGACGCTTCTACAGTTCCTCTTGATGACCCACCAACCTGCTAAACAGGTTTTCAAAGTCAAACTTAGTGACTTTAAACAAAATGCTCTTCGGAGACACCCCAAGCTTATCATTTGTAAATAGTTTTTAGGATGTTTTTGATGTATCAGAGCCTCTGGTCTTTGCCATTGTTCCTGAAAACACAAGTCTCACACAAGAAATGAGCATATAAATCCAGAGAATACCACTTGTGCGATTTTATGAAATCGAAAATGGTAAAGTCTCGGTGAATTTCTAGAAAAAAATTTAGCATGAAGAGCACATCCAAATCAATCCACAGTAATTTACCACACCAAAAAAAAAAAAAATCGGATCAGCCCAGAACAATTCTTGCACCAAATATCACTGCTGAAAGACAAGTTTCTCAAGAAATGCAAAACTTAACTTAAAAAGAGCAATTAAGCACAGGGGTTCCTTCCTAACTCATTTTCAACCTAAATCCCAAGGTTCTAAGTCCCTTTAACAGTGCAGTAACCGATTTCAAAAACATTTCTTCAAGAAAAACTCAGTGTAAAATCAGTTCAGTTTCAAGAACAAGGGAGATGCTTTTCATGATTGATTACCCTGGGATTAAGTGAAATGCAGCTAGAGACGTTTTCAGGATCAAAAATAGGAATGAAAACCGAGCTCAGAGCAATAAGAATCACGAAAAACCGAGTTGAAATGAGCAAGCTACGAGGTTTTGGTTTGGTATTTAAAAATCGGACACGTCAGCAAGGGAGATTTCATAGGCGATTTAAGGTTTCAGTCTTCACGTCCATGTTAGGGCAACGGAGGCATGGCGGCGTAGGGGCAGGAGGGCCCACCGTCACCAGAGGAAGCAGGGAACGCGACGCAGGAGGGGCTAAAGGAGATCGGAGATGTACTTTTACAGGGAAAGGAGGTTGATGGCCACAAAGAGATTTCTCGGGAGGAGGGTGTGGAACACGTATCAACGAACCAGAAGATCTCTGATCAGTCTGTGAGTGCAGAGGAGGCTAGGATCATTGATCGGCCTTCTCAGCTGATGGTAGATACCTCTCGGATGCAAATCGGGGAATCTGTGAAAAAGTTATCAGAGGTAGTGAAAAAGCGAGATGTGTTGGAACGATATGACATGGACGTAGTCGATATCGATGGTGAAAAAATCTTTCGGGTTCCAGAATCAGTTTTACAAGAAGCCCCTCTATGGGACGATTGTATTGTTGGGAAGTTTTTGAAAAGAGCTCCTCATGTTGGCTCCATACACATGACAGTTAACAATATCTGGCCGCTTGATAAAGAGATCAAAATAGACGTCTCTGTGGTGAATGAAGCAACAGTCAAGTTTCGTATACCTGACAGAGGGGTTAGAGATAGAGTACTACGTCGTAAGATGTGAAATATTAAGGACACTCCAATGCTGGTTTCTAAATGGAGCCCAGTGCCGGAGGAGTCTCAACCGATCTTGAAATCCATACCTCTATGGATCATTCTGAAAAATGTGCCTCGAAAACTTTACAATTGGAAGGGGTTGAGCTATTTAGCTAGCCCAGTGGGTGTTCCTAAGCAGCTCCATCCTGATACAGTTTGGGTAAAACAGTTTGATGTAGCCAAATTTTCGGTCGAAGTAGATCTCACCAAACCACTACCATCGTCTCATTGTTTTGAGATCGAAGGTGTGAAAGTAGAAATTCAATATGAATTTCCGTGGCTCCCGCCGCACTGTACGGCTTGTGGTGGTTGGGGACATATTGGTAGGGAGTGTAAGGCTACAAATGGCCCAATCACGATCTTGAGAAGGGAAGATGAGTCTTTGAGTCCAAGGAAAAGTGGAAAACAAACTGTGCAGAGTAATTCACAAGCAGTGCAGGTTGCAAATCGCAGAAAGGATGGTGAAGGATCAAAAACGGTGGATAGTGAGTTGGCAGTGAATAGAGCGATGTCGTCTCTGTTATCCTCTGTTTCGAAGGGTAAAAAACAGAGTAAAGGGAGCAACCACTTGGCGAATAAGGAGAAGTCGCAAGAAGCACCTAATAACCTTCAAGATTCTTCGAAAAATCTTGATATGGAGAAATGTGAGGAGTTATGGCAATCTCCTACGAAGACTTCAAAGCCTCACCAAAATGCGACTGTGGAGAAAGTAGAATTTTCTACTGTTTCGCGATTTGCGAATTTGAGTGAGGAGGGAGAAGATGATGAGATTCCAACAGAGAAGTCATCTGAGAATGATGAGGGAGATGGTGATGATAATACCAAGGAGGATGGAGAGCTTGCCTCTATTGGGATACCAGATATAACGTCTACTGAAAAGGATAGTGCTGCTGAGCCGGTGAATGAGGTAGTGAATGTTGAGGCGAAACGTGTTCCGCTCATGCGAGCCGCAAAATCTTCGCATCAATTTATCACTGGAAATCAGAACCCAATGAGCAACGTAAAGAAATCGGGGCAGAAAGGGGAGGAATAACAAACAAAATCACCAATGACAGGTTTCTTTCGGAATATTCGAGGACTCAATAAACAGTGTAAGCATACGGTAATAAAGGACTGGGTTAGAGGGAATTCTTTTAAGTTTGGTTGTTTGCTTGAAACAAGGGTGGTGGAGAACAGATGCAACAAGATTGCGTCAAGTGTTTTTCCGGGTTGGTCGATCGTAGCAAACTATGACTTTAACAGGCTTGGCAGAATTTGGGTTGTATGGCGGGAAGATGTAAATCTAGTGGTGATTCAGAAAAGTGGGCAAATGATTACCTGTAACATATCTTTGGATGATCAGGAAGACTTTATTTGCTCGTTTATTTATGCAGAAAACCTTGCAGTGGAGCGCAAGGAATTGTGGGAGGATATAAAACTTTTGCATGATTCGGGCGTATGTCAGGATAAAAAGTGGATGCTCTGCGGCGATTTCAATGAGGTTTTGTCTATTGATGATAACTCTCGACCTGATCATACAGGAGTAATCACACAAGGTTCATTGGATTTTCATGAAGCTGTTAGACATTTTTCTATGGTCGATATGGGTTTTCATGGCCCTTGGTTTACTTGGAGTAACAAGAGGAGAGAGGGATTGATTCACAAAAAATTGGACAGGGTGCTCATTAATGAAGAATGGCTTTTACGTGAGCCTCGATCTTATAGTGTTTTTGAGGCTGGTGGATGCTCAGATCACCAAAGAGGACGGATATATCTAGACTGTGAGCCACAGAGCATCAAAAGGCCTTTTAAGTTTGTTAATTCGTTGGCGAGATTACCTGAATTTATTCCAGCGGTGGAGGAGGAATGGGCGAAGTCGGAAGCTCTGCATCATTCTACTTCTGCGATGCATAGGCTCTCCAAAAAGCTAAAAGAGTTGAAACCAAAGCTTAAACAGTTGTCAAAGCAACGATTTGGTGATCTACCTAAGCGAACAAAAGATGCTTTTGAGGAGTTCTGTAAGAAGCAGGAAGAATCGGCTATAAATCCTTCGATTCAGTGGCTGGGTTAGAAGAGGAAGCAAATGCTTTAACGAGATGGGAATTTCTTGCAGACCTAGAAGAATGTTTCTTGGACGGCTAGACACTTGTCGTATGCAGGCCGGCTACAGCTACTACTCTCAGTAATATCCGGTCTTACGAATTTTTGGATCTCTGCATTCCGTCTTCCGCGGAGCTGCGTGCGAGAAGTGGAAGCTTTGTGCAATGCTTTCTTATGGTCTGGTCCTTGTTTAAATGCTCGAAAGGTGAAAATCGCTTGGAGTGATGTTTGTAAACCGAAAGCAGAGGGAGGCTTGGGTATTAGATCTTTACAAGAGGCAAATAAGGTCTGTAGTCTCAAACTGGTTTGGAGGTTACTATTCAAATACGACGTCTTTATGGGTTAAGTGGGCAAGACAACATCTGTTACGAGGCCAATCTTTCTGGGCTTTAAGGCAATCTCAAATACATGGTTCATGGATATGGCGACGACTCTTGAAGATCAGCGATACAGCTAAAGATATGCATCGCATGAAAGTCAATGATGGAGAAGGAATATCTTTCTGGTATGATCATTAGTGCGATCTTGGGCAGCTAATAGACCTAACAGGTACAATGGGTTTCATAACTTATGGTGTATCTGCTTATGCCTCATTAGCTTCAGTCTGGAGAACACATAGGCGAAAGCGTCATCGGCTTGAAATTCTGAACTCAATTGAAGAGGAGGTCTGGAAAGCAGCTGCGGTAAGAAATGGAAATGCAGATCAATCGTTATGGCAAGGGAGGAACCAGAAATTTAAGGAAAAGTTTTCGTCTAAGGATACTTGGAACATCATTCGGCACGCTTCGATCCAAAGAAGCTGGAGCCCTATTGTCTGGTTCAAGCATGCTACGCCGAAATGTGCTTTCATTACATGGATCGCAATGCGAGATAGACTAACCACAGGGGATCGAATGCTACTGTGGAACAGGGGAATTTCTGCTGCTTGTGTGTTTTGCTCCATTCCCGTGGAAACAAAAGCACACTTATTCTTTGATTGTAGCTTCTCACAAGAGGTTTGGAATGGTCTCACGCGACACCTACTCGGACACCACTACACCACCAATCATGATGATCTAACAAACCTCCTCTTATTAAACACTCTGGACAAGACGACTCTGTTTCTTGTTCGCTATTTTTTTCAGATCACTCTCACCTGGGTTTGGAAAGAACGTAATAGTAGAAGACATGGTGATACTTCGAATCCACCACGGAGTATTATCAAGACACTAGATCAAATGATGAGGAACCGGCTGAGCTCATTACGTATTGCAGGAGATCGCACCTATGAAGAGGGTTTAGAGAGATGGTTTGATACTCGGCACTAAAAATAGCTTCTGAAGTTCTTAATGCTCTGTTTTTTAGCATAGCGACAATAATTCTTGCTTTTCTTTCTTACCAAAAAGATTATGTAAAGAATACAGTTTTTTTTGGAATATAATTTAACATTTTTTCAAAAAAAAAAAAAAAGAAATGAGCAAGTTACGAAAGTTTCAAGTTCAGAGTGTGAGAGAAAGCAAGCCTGGTCTCGGGGAAGAAGAGACTTAAGTCTCTA